CCTATAAAGTTTCCAATTTGAATTTATTGCTCTCCTATCATCTAAATAGTTACACAATATTCTTAGCAAGTATTCGTTAAGTCCCAGTTTTAATATTTTTATATTTTAAGCCTAAAATGCTTAAACTTTATCAAAAGCCTTAGAAACATCCTTAAAATTATATTGATCTGGTTACCCTTGCTTTTCTATTGCAATTATTTCCGTTATTATAGCTATTGCAGTTGGGGTATTTCTGTGGGCATAAGTCCATGTTGTCTATTGTTAGTTTTTCCCATGTTGTGTTAAAAGGCTATAAGTCTTGAATTTAAAATTTTTCAATGGTTTCACGGTAATTTCTAATAAAGATATTGGCCTGTAGTTTTAATATTTCCTTATTGTCCTTACCCTCCTTAGGAATAAATATCATTTTAGCATATTTTTAGTTTGTCTGAAGTAACCAGTTATTAAGCATGCGTTACATAACGTTTAATAGTGTTTTTAAAAATGTTTTCAGGTAGATTCATGATCATATTTCGTGTAATACCTGTGAGCCCAGGGCTTTTCCTTAAACTTCCTCAGACAGTGCATCATTTTTTTTCTCCCATGGTTATTATTTTGATTATTTAGGTAATAAGTTATAATAGTCTATATATTATTGCCTTGGGGTGATTCTATGTATATGTCTTCCCATTTCGTCTTCTATCCTTTCTTCGTGTTCACTATGGAAATCTTCATTTTCTCATCTGATATTTTTAAAACTTTTACCCATTCCTTTTTGAATGCTGACTCTTGTTCATTTTCCTCGTGCAGTTTTGTTTTCCATTTTGGTCTTTAATGTATGGTGTTTTTTTGCTTATTTGTGCCCCATCATCTCTTTTGTTTATGGAAGTCCAAAATGTTTTGTGTCTTTAGTCATGTCAGCCGCCATTATAATATCATTCCATTTTTTATTGTTTGCTTCATACATGCGTCTCTTAATTTTATCTGTAGTGCTGTCTGTGTCGTATATAGCCATCTGTTACTGCCCAGGTGTCTTTCCATATACCTGTTTATTTCATTGTAATAGGTCTGGATTAATTCTTCTTCTGGTAGTCTGTTGTTGGGTAATGTTCTAAAGTGTGAAGTAGGAGTGTGTTTTGGTTAAAGATGTTTTTATTACTGAGTGCAGTCTGTCCATTTCTGAGTCCTATATCTTCTGTTGTTTCCCTTATAGGTTAATCAGTGAGTGATTACCTAAGTCGTCTTTTGAAGCACATCCCAGTCTGTTTTACTCATTTCAGTCCCTCGTGACGATCTTCAGGAGTGAAGTGCTTCCCCATCTGGAGTACTGTCACCCCATCTGGTCCCCGAGATATGCTAGGAGCGTGACGATCTAGTGAAGTGCTTCCCCATCTGGAGTACTGTCACTCCCATCTGGTCCCCGAGATATGCTAGGACTGTCAGTTGGTTGAAAATGTCAAAGGAGGCCACCAAACGGTGCCTGCACACTTCAGCCACCCCTGAGATTGGAGCTCCTGAACTTGCCTAGCTTATACTACAGACGGGCGGACCTAGTTGAGGTTTATAAGCATCTCAGGGGCACTACTCAGTTGAGTGTCCTACTTGAGCTGGCGACGCCGCCAGGGGTCACAGCTCAAGATTGAAGAAGCAAGTCCGAAACCGTGAGGCAAACTTTTCGGGAGGAGGTTGTAAACTCTGGAACAATCTACCAGAGAGTGTGCTGACGGCACCGAGTGTGAGCTCTTTCAAGAGAAGACTTGACCAACACTTTGGAGCGGGTTCAGTACACCAGGAGCCGGCATGCCCAGTATTTGCCAACAGACAGACGTGACCGATCGCCCGGCGGCCAGCTTGCCAACCTTTATGAAGAATATAAAGGAAAAGAGACGTGACCGATCGCCCACGGCTAACAAGCCGATCAGTATGAAGAAAAAAAAGTAAAAGGTATCTGTATGGGGCTTGTTGACAGTGTTAGTATAATTGGCAGATGGTCACTGCATGTAAGAGGTCCCTGTATTATAAGGTGGTAAAAAGGCTTTGTTGTTGGTAAAAATTTTGTCTGGTGTCGATTGTGTATTGTGATTTCTGCGTTGGAAAGTTAAGACCTAGATGATTGATTTTTCCTAGATTTATTAATTGATTAAGGGCGTTTCCCACGACGTTATTTGTATTGTCAAAATCCTATGTCTGGCGTTAAAGTCTCCTAAGATACACGATGACTGTTGTTAGCTAATTTTAATAGGTCCTATAGGTAAGAGGGTCGTCTCGGCAAGAGCAGAAGCAATAATTACGTCTCCTTGAGTTGTATTTATTTATTGCTAGAAATTCATCCCAAAGTCATCGATTAGTTTAAATTTTAAGTTTTAACCGCTATCGCTACTCCGTCATTTTTCTCGCCCGATTTATTTCTTTGGTTTACAATAGTTAATGAGTTTTATGTTGGTGTTGTCTGTCTCACCGTGACTGTTTATTAGTATAATGTCAGGTCAATTTCTGATATATACTTAGGTTAATTTTCTCGGTCTTCCAGTTTTACAGTTGTGTTGTATTATTCTTAAAGTTCTTACTGTTTGTCTATTGTCCATTATTTATACTTAACTCTGACGGTCTACTATTTAAAGTCATTGGTCGTAATCTTTAGTTTGTCCGTAGTGATTAGGACCAGACGTAATCTTCACTTAGGGATTTTTCTTGATATGTCCTTGTATATCCTCCTTCACTTACTATTGTCCCTCCTGTTGGATGGCACCACGAGGTCAGGTGTTAAATACGGGGTAGGCGGCTTAGCAGTTGACCGCCCGTGTATGGCGGCGCCAGTTGACCTGGACCACGAGGCCACCGGGGAATTGGTGGGGCCAGCTAGGCAGCCACAAACAGCTTGTAGGGAGAATTCCACACTTCCTGCTTTCTATGCTTTACTTCTCTACTCTCCTTTCCCAGTGCAAGTCATTTGCCACTTTACTATTTTCATCATCATCATCATCATCATCGTGCGATCACTCTACCCACTTTCCAGAACCAACAAGACCTGTCAACAAGCTCCTCAAGACCTCAGCCAACAAGACCTCTCAGCAAGCTCCCTCCACCCAGTTACTCCCTAGCACCTGCTGTACTAACAACATATATATTTACGGAGAACGCCATTGTGGTTTCACTTCTTACCTCCATCATGAGTGCGAGATCTCTACATGTACGTGTGTATGTGAGCCTATTGTAGTGGACGTATCCGCATTCCAATGCGACAGTATCCTAACAACCAAACGAGGCGGCCCAGGGGGCGTCACCATCTGCTACCGTATCCTAGCAACACGGGGTGGGGTGGGGGGTCGAAAACCGGCGAGTTCCACAGGTTTACTTCCGGCTGCTGTGTATATAAGCTCTGTCTCTCCATTAAGATTCATTCTACTCTACGTTCCTGAACACGCCTCCTCCAAGCAAGCTCTCCCTGTCCAGCTCTCATTCAACCTGGAGGACAGCAACAGGCAACATCTCCTCTAACGAAGCTCCTGCACACCTACCTCCTTCAGCACGCTACTCACCGAACGTGTCTACTGAGCAGCTCCTCACCACACGGCATCTCAGCACCAGACTGTCTTTCATATAACTTATATTATATAAAAACCACCACCTTAAGAGTTTCCATCCATCCATCCTGAGTGCTAGACAACATAATATCACGTAACCCTACACTATCAAAGAAAATAGACAAACATAGAGAAATTTGACAACTGGCCACATACAGCACGCTACAAAGTGTATAAATGAAAGTCAGGGCTGAACAAAGGAACATTACAAAGGTACTCAAACTATCCAACGAGGAGCGAACTCCAGATATCTAGACGGTCCGTCCTCGTGACGATCTTCGGAGGTGAAGTGCTTCCCCATCTGGAGTACTGTCACCCCATCTGGTCCCCGAGATATGCTAGGGACTGTCAGTTGGTTGAAAATGTTCAAGAGGGCCGCAAACTGGTGCCTGCACTTCGCACCTCAGCTACCCCTGAGAGATTGGAGCGCCTGAACTTGCTTAGCATACTACAGACGGGCAAGGGGACCTAGTTGAGGTTTATAAGCATCTCAGCACTACTCAGTTGAGTGTCACTTATGACTGGCGGACGCTCGCCCCACAAGGTCATAGCTCAAGATTGAAGAAGCCGCAAGTCAGAAACCGTGAGGGCAAACTTTTCGGGTAGGGGTTGTAAACTCTTGGATAATCTACCAGAGAGTGTTGTGACGGCACCAGTGTGAGCTCTTTCAAGAAGACTTGACCAACAGGGCAGGTTCAGGTACATTCAGGAGCTGGTGCATGCCCAGTATTGTACCAACAGTGCGTGACAGAGGTGACCGATCGCCCGGGCGGCTAGCGAGACCAGCATCTGGTGAAATATAAAAAAGGAAAGAGACGTGACCGATCGCCCAAGCGGCTAACAAGGCGATCAGTGGCGAAGGGATAAAAGTAAAAAGTAAAAGTAACAATGATTTAAATTAGACAAATTTAGATTTAGGCAAAAAGAGGTAAACATTGGTTTGGAAATAGAGTAGTGGACGAGTGGAACAAGTTACAAATACCATCATTAACTCGAATACGCTAGAGATAGCTAAACATAGGTTGGACGGATATGGAGCAATAGGAGTTGGGTACAAATGGGACTGCCCAGTATGGAGCCATGAGGCCCGCTGCAGTTTCCTCCATTCTTGCGTTCTTGTGTAATACCATTGTCAAGGAATATCTGTCTTTGGGGACTTCAGTTACGGCCGACATAATTTGGAATAAATAAAATTGCACCAAATGGCCTGCTTTAATAACCCGCAGCTCTTATTTGCAGAAACTCTAAGAGACAACTTCCTATATAAGCATATAATTTTAAGATCATACACTAGATGTGAACCGACGCCCAATTTACTCAATCTCATAATAACTAACAAGGATCTAAGGATGATGTGGTGACAAAATTGGACACTTAGCCTCTGTTACTACCCATTACATGCTATTTCCCTCAGGCTTAACTTTTATTAAGTACATAAGAGCAGGCCAAGGATCAAAATATTGTTTCAACCCACGAAAAGTTTTAAGCTCGTAGTAACGTAGTGTTCAGCTTAGCCATTGTTTACATCGTGTGGACGCACGTGTGGTGCATCTTACTTTGGGTAAAGTATTATTTTTATTCTTTTGTGGTAAATAACGTAAATTTTAATGGAAACTTCTTGGCACCAGCAATATAGAAATCTGGTGTTCTTATCGTCTCCGGTCATGAAGGCGAATTATAGGATTTTAAGCTTTGGAATCAGTAGTTCAGTCAATTCAAGACACTTTTCTTCTATAGAGTTTCCATCAAATATGATAAATTTACTTAAGTGCTGTAGCGATTTCACAGCAATTTTTTTCATGAATTTTGCTTTTTTTGGGTAATGTTGCAGTAAACAGCAACCACAGATTTCCGAAATTCACTACACTCAGTCGATAGAACTATTTTTTCTAAAGTATCTTTTGTTACACTTCCCCCCAAATTAAATAAGAGAAGTTATTGAATTAAAAAAAAAAATCGGGCACCTATTGCTCCAATGCTGTATCTCAAATTGTGTGTGTTAAATGCCGTCGCTAATACTGTAATGGCTATTTATATTCGTGGAGGCTGACGCACGACTCTGGGTTATTACATAGCGTCTGGGGTCCTGGGGGGTTAGGTAAGGTCTAGCGGATATATTGTATAAGTTAGCAAGCACAGAGTACCAGGAACACACAATGATAGAACTATTATTTTTTTTTTTCGTAAATAGCAACAATTTCTGCTGTGTAATGTGTTCTTCTGATGTATTCTTGTTGCGATTCGGACAATTTTGAATTCGTTTTTACCACAAATGATTCGTGGCTCTCCCCACCCAGAACCAATTTCACGCTTTCCCCATTATTGTTGGGGAGGGATAAATCAAACAAAGTGATTTCCGATAAAATGAATGGGTTTTTGCGTTGACACACGTCATTCCTACATCTATTATCATATTCGAATAAGACTTCTAATTATAAGATAATTTTCATCTATTACATTACGGCGGAATTGTATAATAACGGAGATAACTCCCAAAAATTCAATTTTCTTCCATTAACCTCCGCCATTATCGTCTGCCTCTCACCCCAACTCTCCCATCTCGCGTCTCCTTCATAAATCATACGGCGCATGCGTCTTTCATTACACTTCACGGCCAGTCAAAAACGATTTTGCTTTTGGAACCAATTAAAATGATTTTGGGTTTAATTCAGAGTATATTTGGCCCAATCAAAATCGAGTTTATTTTGGGTCTCATATTTTGAAATTCAAGTTCAGTTCCGACCATGGAAGTTTAGATGGATGTCACAAAGTATATGGAGCTGATTGCAGAGTTTTGGAAAAAAACATAGAAACTATAGACATTTTTCGATGGCATGTTCTTCCAACCTCAGTAAAGTGTACTAAAGCAAGACTGAAATGTAAATATCTTAAAGACCATCATAGTGGCGTTGTGTAAGAATCCCAGAATCAACGACAGACAGAACCAGGCCAATAAGGTAAGAAATAGTTGATTCATATATGGTGAGAGTCAGTTAAGTTAGGTTAGGTTAGGTTTTTCAGTGTTTTTGTGTATTTTTTAGTCGCTTAGCCACTTTTTTTGGAAGCGTCAAAAAAAAAATTGCAAAACAAAAGGCTAATTTCCGTAAAAAGGTCATTTTCGGTCTAAACACACACAAATAAAAAAATATATTTTTTACTTGCTAAAATGAACGGTGTGACAATGCAAATTACCAATGAATGTCAGATTTGAACCAATCACAAAAATCATCAGAAAACAATTATTTTTATTAGATTCTTTGGTTGCTGTACTTCTCTGCAATTTTACTGTTTTTTATTGGAGATAGTTTTTCTAGGGAAAAAAAAATAATAATGTTTTCAATCATGGTCAAACATTAGTTTTTCTTTCAAAAATCAACATCCTCCAGTAAATAAAACAGCAAAATTATGCATGAAAAAATGTTTTACTGTTTTATGTACACAGAAAAAAGCCTAATCTAACCGCAATTGGATATGTAATGTAGTCAGTATTTAACTTATCATATTTAACCTACTCTAAGTAACCTGACCCAATTCCCTAAGGCCCCCGTTCAGTTATATAATGTCAGTATTTAACAATCTTTTTACCTAATCTTCTTACAACGATTCTGTGATGAACATACATCACGACGCGTGTCCACTCTTGATCATGCCCACTGCTCAATAGTCGCCCGAGTAGGAAGTTGGAAGTACAATCGGCCCTTAACATATCAGGGTTTATACGGATTTGCAAATCTGCGGATTGCCCGGAAGATATTCTGTAGATTAAGTTATTAATACATTCAAATCGCGTACCATTCAACCAGCCAGCGACACGAACACAGGACACAACCGCACTCCCCAACCTCACACACCACGCATAGCTCTCCCTCACTCAGTCAGTCTCGCTTAACCACGCTTGTGTTGACATCAACATTATGGTTGCAAAAATATTACATTTCCATGAATGTATTATATCAAAGCACAGTATGAATAGAATATCACCTAGTATAACAGTATTTTAACCGAAAACTATTAAAAACGAGTAACATATCAGACGTAAATTTAGGTAAGTCTTTTGTTTTCATGTAGTTTATCCTAATTTACATTGAAATACAATCACGTTCAACAAAACTACTATTATTTCTGAGAATATGAAATGTAATATTTTGCTGAAATAGCGTACTTACAATACGTGGAAAGTGACAACAACTGACTTTCGCTTCTCCGTTCAAAAGATGTTACATATCGCTTTCAATGGTTTTCAGTTAAAAACGCTATTTCATTAATATATTCTATCCTAATTCACTTAGTGATGCAACAATTTTACTGAAAATCTTGAAAACCAATTACAGTAACATCTTTTTGTGAAAAAAAGCAAGTCATTGTTTTTGTCTTTATTTTATCACTTTCCACTGGAATCGTCTCATTTCTAAAAAATATACATTTCGTGATGCATTATATCAAGCACAGTATGAATAGAATATCGTTGTAATATAACAGTATTTTAACTGAAAACTAATATAAAAGCAGTAACATCTCTTGAACACCGGAAGGTTAGGTAAAAGTCTTTTGTTTGCGTCATATTATTTTATCTATTTTACATTGAAATACATCACGTTTCAGCAAAACTACTATTTATTTCTGAAATATATTCATGCAAACAGTTTAGGTAAAATGTACATGTGATGTATTTTTAACTGAAAATGATTCACGTACCTCTAGCTGTTCAAGGAGAAGACTGGGAGGAGCTGTTTTGGTGTTGAAGAGCGATGATTTTGATGGATTTTAATGAAAATATTCAGAAATATGGTATCGTAGTATTTATTCAAGTGAATTAGGATAGAATATTATTGTAATACAACAGTAGTAACGATGTGGAGGGCGGAGGATGGGGAGGAGGTGACTGGCGGGGCAGTGGAGATGCCAGCCAGTACATTACGGTGTATTAATTGTTTTTTGTGCTATTTTTTGCATTTTTAATATTAAATACTGTACATTCGTTTCAATAAAACTACCATTTATTTCTGAGAACATGGAAATGTAATATTTTGCTGAAATGATGTACACAATACAGTGGAAAAGTAGGATAAAATGGCCAAGCAATGACTTTCTCTTTCTTCGTTCAAAGATATTACATGTCACAAGCACTGAATGGTTTTCAGTTGTGGGATTATAAGGCTAATGATAGGATAGAATATTGTTGTAATACGAAATGCAGTACAGCAGTTTTTAACTGAAAACCATTGGCGATTACAGTAAAATCTTGAACAACGGCGAAAGTCATTGTTTTGTCATAATTATCCACTTTCACTATGTCGTCATCCAGCAAAAATATTACGACACCTCACTATTATTTCCGAATATATTCATTCAGTCACAGTTAAGGTAAAATATACTTGTGATGTAATATTTTAATAATACAATGTAATAGTTTTCTTTGTTTCAAATTTAATTAACAAAGATTGATGTTTCAAATGTAATGAACAAAAATTTATGTACAGTATCTATAAATACACTTTAATAAATGAATACTTTATGTTTTACATAGTCTGTGCTACCATACCATGGATTTGGCTGCTTTGGGCTTGCTCACGATAATAAGTAAGAGATCTGCCCTGCAACTGTACCGACACTCAAGCTAGCTGGGGAAGCGTTGGTGCATACGTTTCCATTGTTTACTAGTAGTTACTGGTAAATATTTTCAACCTAAACTATTACCCGTTTAGAATAGACCCCCAATTTTTGCCAAATAATTTGGTCTTAAAACTCGAACTACACACAGGTATATCTGATAGAAATAAGGACATACAGAAGAGGTTTTTGGGGAGGAAGCAAAATAGAGGATTTTTAACATCCACAAATATCTCTATTCATTAACCCGGCGTATATTAAAGACCAGACTGTATGTTATCCGGGTTCACACTGGAATATGCATTCAGTATAGTATAATTATAAATAAAAAACACTTCCCCAAAGAACACAAACAACAATTAACAAAAACAATTATGGTGGAAAAGCAGTGTGTTCTTGTTAAATAGTTAAACATTAATCTACCGTTATCCGAAATTTATATTTTCACAAATATTTTAATCGATAAAATTATAACAATACTTGTTTTAAAATTAGGCAGGGCTTTGATACAGTAAAGTCAAAAATCTGGACTGCTTGGAGATTGGAGTCGGTCCAGTTTTCTGATTTTCAGTTCTCAAGGCAGTACTTTTAAATTAAATTTAAGGAGATAAAGAAAGAGATGAACAGGTACATTTGATAATTTATTCATTATCAAATAAAAGCATGCTTCATTCATCAAAATGAAACAGTTTTAAAAAGAAAATAAAAGTCAACACTAGACAAAAATGTAAAACAAACTGTCTGTCTGTAGCAGGTCTTAAAATTCCTAAGCCATCCATCACTAAATACCTCTGATTCAATGTTCATTTGCTCGTAAAAGACTTTGCTTTGGCAATAAGCGCCGGCCCAGAAATTGCCATACCTTCTGATCGTTTTAACAAAAACCATTCTTGCAACACTTTATCAAGATTTACTGTAATTTGGGCCAATATAAACTTTCTTTCAGCAATTTTAATGCTA